TAATAGAAAAAATAAATATATACTAAATAAAAATCTTTATTAGAAAAAACCAATATACTGTAATTCAAATATGAAAAATTATAGAATAAAGACGACTACTTATTTCATTAGAGTTGAAACTGATCATTTTTAAATTCAATTACGCTAACAAAGACGACTACTTAAAGGAAAAAAAATAGCTTGTTAGAAACTTCGATTTCAATATAAAAGACTAAACAGAGCAAAACATATGACCAAGTGACTAAAAATTCTATTTAACTTAATGGTTAATTAATAATGATTATAGCTACTACTATATGGCTATATTTATATTCGGAGCATTACAAATCTTTGTAAGCCCGTAACCAGAAGGCGTTAATTATGTACACCTATAGTTTTGACATCATTTTTACGCCAACCAATTAACCATTTCCACAGTCATCTCCATTTTTTCTAACAAGTTATACACACTTTCAAGATATATTTTAGAATTGTTTCTATTGGCATTGTGCAGGTATGACCTGGCTACGTGTTTAACTTCGTACTTAATTGCCTCTTCAATACTTGAACCAAAAGTTCTTCCCAGTATTGTTCCTTTTAATATGTAAACATATTGTGTCTATACCTCACATCTATATTATAAAACTATTTCAAAATTGAAGAGAGTTGCTCCCTGATAATGATTTCGAACTAATTCTATCGTAAACAATGAAACTCTAGATAAAAATAACTTAATACGAGTATTTAAATATTTTACTCAATTCATTTTCCGATATTCTCTTATAGCAATATTAACAAATTCAACATGAATTATCTAGATAAACACAAACCAACTAACGATTCAAAAGTGTTGTCAACACTGAATATATTCTAGTTACCACTTAATAACACTTAGCAACATTAACAAATTTAACATGAATTATCTAGATAAAGTATATAGATTACACAAACCGAGTAACGAATCAAAAGTTTTATTAACACTGAATATGTTCTACTTGCCACTTTTGTGCTTTCTACTATCAGAATACTAAACGGCACCAACTTTTACAGATTTTTATTGCAATTTTGGGTATATTAGGCTCAGTATTAGCTAATCCAAGTGGAATACCCTTACCACCGTGTATACATGGACATGCGGGTTATGCTTATCCTCCGCCTGTAGTAAAACTCTCAGTATCACCAGCAGTGAACGCTTATGCTGAGCATGGTAAACTTCAATTTTCATCCAGTGGTTCATCATATGAGTCGACAAATTTATTGAAACCATCTGTAACATATGCTGGAGAAGCGGGAATAACATATGCTGAAAAATCACCAGCTTCAAAATATGCTGCAGTTGTTCCATCAGGAATCGAATTTAACAAAGTTGTCGTACCAACCATATCCAAGTCAATTACACAAATATCAAATGCTTATTTACCACCAGCAGCTCCACTTATTTCGAAAATTGAAACTTATAAAGCACCTGCTGTAAAATATACTCATACCTCACCATCAATATCCAAAATTGAAACATATTCATCATCATATTCTGATGGCTACTCATCAGGTTATTCAGTTCCTGCAGTTGGAAAACTTTCGACTATTTCAACAGGTGCTAATCATGCACTTTTTACTTCAAGTGATCTATCGGGAAAAGGTGCACTTTCTTATGCTCCCACTTATTCCAAAATTTCACTAGATGAAGGCCTGTCGAAATATGGTTCATATGGTGCATTGTCACATCAGCATGTATCAAAACCCATAATATCAAGCAGTTATGTACAACCGGTGGCAAAAGTCTCTTATGCTGCACCAATTATATCCAAGGTTGAGAGTTATGCTGCTCCAACTATAACTCAATATTCGTCTTCATCCGACATAGGCACTAGTAAATACGTGTCAAGTGGTGCTGTTTCGCATCAACATGTGTCGAAACCGGTAACATCTGCTTATGTTGCTCCTGCTGTATTAAAAGCTGCCTATGTTGCTCCTGCTGTCGTAAAAACTGCCTATGTTGCTCCTGCAGTTGCTAAATTGCAGAGCTATGCAGCACCTGCGGTTACTCACTACGCATCAGGACCTTTATTACCCAAAGTTTCTGTTTTATCTGAGTCTTCTTCACATTATGGAGAAAGTGCCAAATATTCTTCTTCTGGTGCCGTTTCACATCAGTATGTATCAAAGCCAGTCGAATCAAAGGCTTATATCACCCCAGCAGTAGCTAAAGTAGCTTACACAGCACCTGCAGTTACTAAAGTAGAAAGTTATGCGACACCTGTTGTCGAACAATATTCTTCCGGTCCTGCATTAGCTAAAATCGAAACTGTTGGCAAATATTCATCAGCTGGTGCAGTTTCTCATCAATATGTATCAAAACCAGTAATTTCTACGCCAGTAGTTGAAAAAGTGGCATATGCCGCTCCAGTCGCTGCTAAAGTTGAAACCTATGCTGCGCCTGTAGTAACACAATACTCATCTATTCCAGCAGTTACTAAATTTGAGAAATATTCTTCATCAGGTGCAGTATCACATCAGCATGTGTCAAAACCTATAGTATCAGCTGCATATCTCGCTCCTGCTATTGCTAAGGTAGAACAAGCTGCTCCAGCAATTGCCTTATCGGATTATTCTTCATTCACAAACTCAGCCTAGACTCATTGGCAGAGAGTGGAGTCCGAAACAGCTAATTTCATCAGCTCTGGCGCAGTGGTCGCACCATAGTTATGGTAACGAAACCATCTAGTTTTTCTAACCAGTAGTAGAAAAAAGTGGCATATGCCGCTCTCAGTCGCTGCTTAAGGTTTGAAACCTATGCCGCCTGTATTACAACTACGACAATCCGTCTATCCCAGCAGTTTATAAATTTGAGAAATAATTCCTTTCATCAGGTGCAGTATCATAACCATCAAGCATGTGTCCCAAAAACCTATACTGTATCGGAGACGAGGAGTTATCTCGCTCCTGCTATTGCTAAGGTAGAACAAACTGCTCCAGCAATTGTCTTATCGGATTATTCATCACACTCTGGTGCAAGTGGAGCTAAATATTCATCAGCTGGCGCAGTGTCGCACCAATATGTATCGAAACCACTAGTTTCTCTACCAGTAGTAGAAAAAGTGGCATATGCCGCTCCAGCCGTTGCCAAACTTGAAAGCTATGCAGCGCCTGCTATAACTCACTACTCATCTGGTCCTGCGATAGCTAAAGTTGAGAAATATTCTTCATCAGGTGCAATATCCCACCAGTATGTTTCAAAACCAGTAGTTTCAGCAGCCTACGCCGCTCCAGCGGTTGCTAAATTGGAATATGCTGCCCCGGCAATTGCAAAAGTAGAAAGCTATTCGTCTGGACCTCTGGTTTCAAAAATTTCTACAATATCAGATTCTTCGTCCCACTCTGGAGGAAGCTATGCAAAATATTCATCATCTGGCGCCATCTCTCATCAATACGTTTCAAAGCCAGTACTTTCGGCTGCATATGTAGCTCCTACTGTCGCTAAGGTAGCATATGCTGCTCCTGCAATTGCAAAGGTAGAAAGTTATGCAGCACCAGAAGTTACTCACTATTCGTCTGGTCCATTGTTATCTAAAGTTTCCACATTATCGGATTCTTCATCTCATTCTGGAGAAAGCATTACCAAATACGGATCAGCTGGAGCGGTGTCCCATCAATATGTTTCAAAGCCAGTAGTTTCATCAACCTACTCCGGTTCAACTATTGCTAAGGGAGCTGTATATGCTGTTCCTACAATTGCAAAGGTAGAAAGCTATTCATCTGGACCCTTAGTATCAAAAATATCAACATTATCCGATTCTACTTCGCATTATAGTGGTGGTTCTGCCAAATATTCTTCATCTGGTGCTACTTCTCATCAATACATTTCAAGGCCTATAATAGCAAAGGAGATATACGAAGCACCAACACTTACTAAGGTTGAAAGTTATGATGCACCAGCGATAACTCATTATTCATCAGGACCTGCGATTGCTAAGATTTCTACTATTTCAGATTCCAGTCTTCATTCTGGTGCAAGTTTATCAAAATATTCTTCGTCTGGTGCTGTTTCGCACCAATATGTTTCCAAACCATTAGCATCTGCTGCATATATAGCTCCAGCAGTTCAAAAAGTTGCTTATACAGCACCTGTAGTTGCAAAAGTTGAAAGCTATTCTACTCCAATAGTTTCCCATTATGGTTCGGCTGGTGCTGAAATAAGTAAAATTTCTTCTGGAGGAGCAGTATCACATCAACATGTATCCAAGCCAGTAGTATCTATAGGATATGCTGCGCCAGCTGTGGCGAAACTGGCATATACCGCTCCTTCATTAACACAATATTCAACTGGTCCGGCAATCACGAAAATTGACACATCACTTCATTCTGGTATAGAAAACTTGAAATATACTACTGGTGGAGCAATATCTCATCAATATGTGTCGAAACCTAATACACTTTTAAGCGGTGGTTTACTATCAGAAGGCAACGGCAAATTAGGCTTAGAATCAGGTATATAGTTCAACTGTTTATAAAAAGTTATCGCTATATTACACTTGGCTTTGTCGAAAATATAACTCTAATTGCTGTTCTGGATTTTGGCTATTCTCAGGCAAACTTCTTAGTTCAAGCGGGTCTCATGGCTCTTACTATGGAACACTAGCAGTGCAACATCAAGGAGGGCACACAGGTTACGGACAATTAACTCCAATCCATGATTTTTCACACGGATTTGGTGGCTTAGGATCTCACGGAGCAGATTACTATAGGTATGCGCCCGGTATAACGACAGTTGGTGGACATCATACTTCTTTTATACAAGAGCGACCCAATCCTGCACATACACTAATTAAGTCTGTGTCCGATAAACACTTAGAATATTTCGTAAGTTAATGGGAAAAATCAAGTACATACATATATTATATCAAATATTATATATTTACTTTGCAGAATTTGCATCCGAGATATGCGTTCGAATACAATGTGAACGATATACACACTGGTGATATTAAGCATCAAAAAGAGGTACGTGATGGAGATGTGGTTCAGGGCGAGTATTCGCTTGTTGAACCTGACGGTAATGTACGTACTGTTAAGTACTACGCCGATTGGGAAACGGGTTTTCATGCTGAAGTCATTAACAGTCGCGATGCTGCAAAAAAAAATATAGCTAAACGCAATTCAAATAAATCATAAAACTTGTAAATAATTCTAATGGATTTAATATTAAATTTCCTTTCATTTAAATTTTTATAGTCAAGGTGAAAAAATATTTTAGGACACGAAAGGAGATAACACCAGTGCATTATCATTGGAAAAGGCATTAAGTGTGTATATATGTGCATTACTCAAAGTCCATTATATTATAGATAATAAATTATGTAAATAGCTTCAAAAACTCTCATTATACATATACCTGTACATATGTATAAATATATACATACATAACATAATCTTTTATACATACACATTATGCATAAAAAAATTTATTTATCCGAAAGCCTATCACTCTCATCATATATATCCTTCCTCTTTTTGACATCATAATATTTCGCCAATTTACATACATACTTACATACTATATGTACATATGTGAATACTCATGTGATAAAAGTGTCATAAAACATACGTCATTATATCTATTTTTTAAAATACATATTTTTTCTTTGAGTGTAAGTAATTTCAATTTATTAAATTTTATTTTCAGTTTTTTTCTTGTACATAAACTCGTTCACCTACTGTTAAGCTGAAAATTGTTAAAACTGAAATAAATCACGGAACAAATCTTTTAATTTTTGTTGTTTTAATTATGGTTTTATATCATTATTTAATAAAATTTAAAAAAAACTAAAAAAAACTTATTTTAATATGGTAAATCAAGTTAACTAGCTTTTTTTATGCAAGACCATGTGTGTAGACAAAGGGGTAATATGGAAAGGTGTCTAAAATGTATACAACTAAATTTATCAATATAAAAAGAGCGGTTTTGGATTAATTTATGTTTGTGTGTTTCTGATTATGTTCTCCTAAATGGAGCATAAAGAGCCTGTTCTTCTTCAAGTTATTATCAGCGCAACGGGCTCCTATAAGCTACAGGATTTTACGTCAGTGTTTGTTACAAAATATCGTTAAATCATCTTTTTAGTCCCTTTTGTTTTCCTGAGTTTCTTTGGTTGTGCTACTTTAGGTGGTCCAAAACCACTGATCGTTTTTGGATATCTGGAGTCGCTAGGCTCTTCGTAGACTCTTCGTGGTGTATATAGGATCACTAGTCTGTATCTTTGGAGGTAGATATATGGCTTCCTCCAAAGATAAAAGGGCAAGAGAATAAAAGCGCCTCTCGCTTTATTGGTTCTGATAACATATTCTTTTACTCTGCTTTGATTTGTTTTAATGCTTTCAAGATATGTTATGATGGCACAGATTCTAACATCTATTCGATTGGAAGGAGAAGTGCAACCCGATATCCGATGCTAATGCTCTAACATTTTCGCTGAATAAAATAAAGACTAATGTTACAGAAAATTAGCCAAGCATATTAAGTACGAAATATAAATTTTTGATAATCCTGCATGCACTTCATAAAAAGGCAGAATCGAACGATTTAAGCCGATCGAATGCTTTTTTGAATAGGATCCGCTTACAATGACTATTGAAATTCATTACAATGTTAGAATATAATCTGTATCGTATTTACAAGATCATTACAAAAACTATTTGTTTTAAAGACATATTGGTTTTCTCTTAGTCAACTTTCTAAATCATTAGCATTAGATATCATAGTCAGTATAATCGATTTAAATATGAGAAATAAAATTATGCCTCTGTAGCTGTTGCAGTCTACAGCATCACCGTTCTTTAGTATTTCCCGTATTTCTTTGGATTCCCGTATTTATTGTATTGTGAATAGCGTTGATTTTAACTCACCCAGGTTTATTTTAGTGTGATTTTTAGCTCCACATATTATTTGTGATAACCACGACCTGATTACCTGATTTCAATCACATGCATATGTAGATAAATAAACTTTATTTTTATAAAGGTATCGGTACATTCATATCGCGTTGAAGCATAATATCACCTCCTCAGACATGTGGGTTTATACATTGGTTCATAATTCTTTTTATCATATTGTTTTCTACGAACGTTGATTATTACTATGTTTCTGGCGCATATTTTTATATTCTATACTCTGGCCCTCTAGTATGAGAAGCTCTCATACAGGGTTTTAATATTGCTTGGAATAATGAGTCACCCTTAAAAATGGTGAATCATATGGATGGAGATATGTATGTCTGAATCGTGTCTACAATAATAAAAAACTATTTCGCATTTAGATGTGTGGTATTTTATTTAAATAAAATTAAATTTGTTAATAATTAAATAATTTCTGCTCTTCTATTTTTATGTCCGTAAAAGGTAATAAAAAATTATATAAATTAAGTTAAAAAATAATTACAAAAATTTTTCCCAGCCCCTACCTGCTTTCTGACTACGTCTATGTGCAAGATTGCATATACTCTACACATTTTTTTAAACTCTGGTAAAAGTACTTCATTTTTTTAAAAATATCTTGTTTTAGTTATAAAACTACAAATCTGAAATTATGAACAAATTATATCACCTAAATCCAGTTTTTAACTTCATTTAAGGAATCAAAATAATATGTGATGTGTCAGATGTTATAAAATATATCGTTTGAAAACAAGGAAATTAAATAAATGGTGATTATTCTGTAGTCAATTGTTGTAACTATATAAAATGACTCATGCCTTCACAAACAATTTATATTCAGTTTTTCTGTTTACCAATGCAATATAACAAATCTTGGGTAAATTCGCAGGCGGAACCAAGAAGTGCGATGAACTATATTATAATATTCTGGACGAGGAACCATCTATTTTATTTAATAGATATTGTCTTCACTGCACACATTGAGAATATTAGATAGACACTTGAGAAAAATCTGAAATGAAGAGATGCCTTTTGGCAAGCACTGGGCAATGAAAACTCCAATATATGACATTTTTCTCCGTATTCTCTGACATACAGTTATGGCAACAATTGTGATCATACATATATGATATTATATGATATGTATGCATATTAAATACGACTTGTACATGTTATCAGATTGTTCTTTATCTTCTCTTAATTTGTATGGTTTACTCAAATAGTGAAATTCTCAATAAATTTTAATACACTGAACTTAATATCATTGCAAATAACCTTCAATTCATTGATGAATAAGCTCTCGAGTCTCTTGAATAATTATAAAAAATATTCATTTATTAAAAAACCCAAGCATTCTTAAAAATACGATCAGCTTTGAACTGGGTTTAGACCATTTCAAACACCTAAAAACATATGAGATATGATAATTGTTTGATATAATTGAGCACTATAACCATACCCGTCCAACATTGCCTTAATTTATTTGTCGCTAAATTACTTAATTATCTCTTACATTTAAATCCATCCTCTGCCCTAAATTTAATCCGAACCTAAATCACACAAGTTTCATCTTTGAATAACAAAGCTGATATATTTTTTAGCATCTACTAGAATCAATCATATACACGCAACCACTTATTTATATATGTACATCGCTATATAGCCTCAACATCTTTCCGACATATTACTGATGGCATAAGAAATTTTTTTATTTATACTCAGATTTATCATAAAAACAATACTTAGTATAATCTTAAATCCCTTGATAGAAATACATCTCTCTAGGCTGCCTGTCCATCTTAGACGGTCGTATCATAAGTTGTTGCTGAATCAGCTCGTGTTTCCAGAGTTTCAAAGGTGGTGTGAAGAGAGATTAAATGGGACTCGTACGAATACTTAGAAATATCGCTTTTCCATGTAAAGAAGCATATAACATAACCCGAGCACTCTTTATATATTAAGCGGAACAATTAAACAGATGTCTGTCGTTATAAGAGACAAGCTATAGCTACGTCATCTCTTTTGTAGAAAATATTTATTACTTTTCTATATTTTTCTATAGATATATCAATGTCTCTTCGCCTCCTTAAGTTTGCTTATCCTTAAATAACATCTTTACACATTAAAGACCGCATGCCCACCGGTGGGTCACTCCGCAACATTACCTGCCTGCGTGCTCACGGGTGGGCACACGATATGTTTTACCTGAATACTGCTTGTACACCGGTAGGCATGATTTAAATTCAATTTATGTACAGTAGTCCATTCGTCGGCCCCTCGAAGAGATATTGTATATAGCCGACTTAGTTAATTTAACATAGTCTCATTTTAAAACGATTTCTTTTAAATCAAATCAATATACAGTGTTGTGCATAACAAAAGCAACCAAAATTTGTCCATCAAATAAATAAGTTTTTTGTCTACTTTTTACTTTTCATTCAAAAATCTAAATACACAGTTTTATTTGTTATTGTATTAGCTATTATAAAAAAACAACAAAATCTACAATTCTTCATAACGGGTTAATTAATTCACACAAATAATAAAATATTGCGAAATGCGGCTGTGCAAAACAATAGCAACTGAGACAAGATCAATGATAGACCTATGACCAAAGTGCATTCTAGCAAGATATTTTTTTGATTTTTTGCATTTTTATGCTGTGATTTATGTTTTTAAGCAAATTAGAACATAAACACAGAATAGTTAAATATTAAATCAGGTAATGGAAGTACGTTTTTATCATGGCTCGTGACACGTATACTTTGAAGTTTAAAGAAGCAAGAATTGAAAAATATTTAAATGGCAGTGCTCAAATGAAATAGCCAAAATATTTAAAATTAATTAGTTTATTGTTTCGCAGCTTATAAAAAAATATAATTTGACAAAATACCGTTAAAACTGTTTATTTGGGTGAAGCCTCTCTTAAGATTACTTGTAGAATTGATCGAAACATCATAAGAATTACAAAAAAAACAACCATTCGTGTCGTTGAAAAAGGTCGTAGCCGAGCTTAAACAAGGTGTTGACTGTAGTACTGTACGCAGGCTTACTCTCGAAGCCGGTTTCAAAAGTTACAGACCAGTCAAAAAACCAATGTTGACTAAAAAGCATTAGCAAAAGAGGTAGATTTTTGTTTTGCTTTTTAATTAATATTAATATACTTCATTTAGATCAAATTTCGCGTGGAATCACTTAAATTGGACTCTTACTAAATGGAAAATAATTTTTTTCAGCAATAAATCAAAATTTAACATC